GGCAGCCAAGGCTCTGCTCTCCCCCAGAGGGTGTCCAAGCTGCTAGATTTAGACTCTGGGGGAACTAAGCGTTCCTCTCTGATGAAGTGTAAGAGAGAAGTCACGTGGCTATGATATGTTTAGAAGACAGCTTAATAGTGCACGTGTGTAAGTGAGAAGGGAGAGCACTTCTATTTGGCCGGGGCCTCCGATGGAGTGCAGAGCCAATGAATAGGTGAAAAAAAGGTAAAAGTAAAAGGGCAAGTTACTGGGTGTTCTCGCTTATCAATTGATAAAGAATATCAGTATCAACATGGCAAGGGGAATGTAAAGCATTGAAGGGGGGTATACTCCTAGATTAGAGAGATGGAAAGGTCAGGAAAGGAGAGAAATGGATAATAATGCAGCCGGGTCAGGGGTCTTCAGCAGATGGGTGGTGTGGAGGGGAGGAATTTGTGTATAGCTAAACTACTAAGCCAACCACAACTGTAAGCACGGAACCCAAATTACAATAATTAAACTTAAAAATGTGTCTAGAAGTACGTGTGTGAGTGCAGGTGCTGGGGTGAAAACCTTGGGACACGATGGAGGAACACTGACGCTTGTGGTCAGGTAGGAGTGGGAAGGCTGTAGGCCTGAAATTCTATGGTTGACAACTTTAAATCATGGTTCCCAAATTTAAAAAATCAATTTTTAAAATATAAAGATGTCTTTCTAACCAAGGAAGAATATTTGTCGGGAAGCAGCCCCTTATTTCACTCTGGAGGATTCTCTTGGAGTGTCAGGGGGTGCAAATGAATATTAGGCCTGGGCACTCCCACAACCTATTTCAAATTCTCACTGTCAGCACAACCATACCAAGTGTAATGGAATCCAGGGATTTTACACTTGACATCTGGACAAGATAGAGTTCACTGAAATTAATCCATGAATTCATTATGAAAACAATAAAAGGCCAAGCAATAGTCTATTTGAGGGCTGGAAAGACAGTACAAAGGTTAAGGCACTTGTCTCACACGTGGCTGTGGCCCACTCCTGGTTCGAATCTTGGCACCATATACGGTTCCCTCAACATCAGACGTGGCCCTAAGCAACACCAGGTGTGGCTCCAAATCACAAGCAAATAAAAAGTTTACTTCAGGGGGGCCCGCATGGCAAAGCTTGGCAAGCTACCCATGACGTATTTGATATGTCAAACACAGTAACAAGTCTCACAATGTTACTGGGCCGGCTGAAGCAAATAAATAAACAACAGGAGGACAGTGACAGTGACAGTGACTTGGGGGGGGGGGGGGGAACAAGGGGCCAGAGAAACGGCTCAAAGGGCTGGTACACAGGTTTTGCATGTGGGAACCCTGGCACCATCTGCTCCCCCCAAACCTAGCTTAAACACTTCCCCCCCAGCACCATCAGGTGTGCCCTATCCCCTCCAAAAAGAATCAATAATCTTGTTATAGGTAGACCTAAGTAGTCCTAACCATTAGGCTTTTTCATAGCTCTTTTGCATGGTAAGAGCTTAATTCATGATGTTACTTGTTGACATTATAGCTCCTCCAAAAAGGAGCCCCAGCAGCACCTACCTTCATAAGGAATGCTTGCAAGGCTCCCTACAGAGATGGAGGGTACTTTGAACACCTCAAAAGTGGGGCTCCTCAGAATACTTTTCAAATGTGGTACGTAAATCTATGACTAACAGGGCAAGAGGCAGGGAAATAGGCCTCTATCATCCTCTGACACAGAGGCACGTGCTTTGTCACTGGGTCAAACTGTGAAGGATAATGCATTTGTCACTTCCTGTATTCGTTTTAACAAGATCTCTTAAGTCTAGAATAAATAAAGAAAACCATGGGTTGAGGATGTAGCTCAGCAGAAGAGCCTTGCATGTGTGAGGCCCTGGGTTCCACTCCTGGCATCCCAGAAAAAATAAAACAAACAAACAACACCCAGACAAGAAAAAAAGACCTGTGAATTTAGATCAACATATCTCTAAATCATAAACAGAACCAAACCAGCCTTGTTTGCTCAGAGAGCCACCGCCTGGACTTCAAACTCAGGACTTGTGTCCACCTTCCGCTAAGATCTTTGCCAGAGATCTAGCCTCTGTCCACGTCCCATTTGAAATCAAAAGGCTTTGAACTGCTGGCGGGTTGACCATTTGGACCTGGAGTGTTTATCAAGCACTTCCTTAAGATAGGAAGGGCGACTATTGCTACCAACCTCCCCGTGCCCCACCAGAGATCCCCCTGTAAGAGCAGGCGCCCAACCAGGACCTCAGAGGAGCTGGCCACTAGCCGTGAGCAGCTCACAGAAGCTGTCCTGCTTGTTACAGAGCTGCCATCTAACACAGGAAAAGGGGCCACAAGAAGCCAGATGCAGAAGGCTTGGTTCTGCCCCACTGGCTCTCACAAAGCACAGCCTGCCTTGGGGCTATTTGGACTGGCCAGAAGTGATTTCACTTTTCTGCCTCCAGCCTGCCTCAGAGAGAAAACCCTTTGGTTTCTCTACTGTCAGCTCCAAAGCCCTGCAAGTCAACACACCCAGGAACACAGGAGCAGGAGGAGTGACTTTACCTGCAGGCCACTTCTTAGCCTCTCTGAGCCCGGAGGTAGGTCACAGCCTGAGATTTAGGGGAATAGTCCAAGGCTTGTTAATCTCCAAGACCCCCAGGGAAACCTTCTAGTAAAATGCCAACCATAGCTCGGGGCTCTTTAAAAGCTTTCAACAGAGAATACCAGGCCCTCAGCTTATTTCCTCCTTGAAACAATAATTGTGCAACTATGAGGACAACGAATGCTGACTCTTCCCTCTCTCCCAACTGTTCCTCGCCAACACTCTAGTCACGGCCCAACCCAACTTCCTGGAGGGATTTTCAAAGCTGCCAAAGTTGCTCCGAACCCCAGTGCTGTGTGCCTGCTCTCCCTGGGCGGGTGCAGCCTTCCACTGCCCGCTCCAGGCCCGTGCTCTCAGCCTGCAGGTCACGGCTTCCATATCAGCTCTCAGACCTTCCACCCTCTAAGAGAGAAACAAGTGAGCCTGTCCCTCTATCTATTCCATCGTATTTATTACAAGCAGCAACTGTCTTGCTTACTCACCCATCTTTATTATCTGGATCGTTCACTAGAACGTCCTGTCTGGGAAGACAATTTGAGATGTTCTAGCGCTATCCTGTTAGTTCACCTTAATCCCCCACCCTCTCCCCGGGCCAGAGCAGAGGACTGGCACTCGACCATTTTCCATCTGAGGCCAGCCCCTCAGGGAAGCTTCTCGAAGCTTCCTGGTGAGGCACCAGCACTTATGGAAAGGAGTGACATCTTCTAATGAATGGGGAAGCTCATGGCGTACATCTGAGCACATCAGCGAGGCTGCATCAAAGAACCTTTCTTTGCCATGAAGGACTAAACAAGAAGCCCCAGGAGATACAACAGAAGACACTGCTCCCTTTTCTGCCTCACAGTATCATGTGTTGTTGATCTTCTGCCAAAGGAGGAGTGCAGAGCCCCTAACCCAGCACAAACAAGCAGAAACCCTAATGGCGATAGCCACTGCAAGCCCAAAGAGCCCTGCCAACCATAGGCTTCGTCAGCTCCTCAGAGGGCAAAAAGGAACCAATTCCTGCCCCAAAGCATTCTGCAACTGACCTGATTTTCAGCGCCATGTTTCACCTTAGCTTACAGATAAATAAATACAAGGAGAATCAGGTCCCAAGTTATGTAAACTCTTGCATCTCTATAGAATTGGACTGATATCATTCAGAATCTGGTATTATGCTAAGAAATAAGCCCATGCTTTTCTTTTTTTTTCTTTTCTATTTTGTGTGTGTATGGGGGCGGGGGGTTAGGGTGTTGGGATACATCTGGTAGTGACCAGGGGCTACTTCTAGATCTGAGCTCACAGATCATACCTGGTGGTGTCAGGGATCTAACCTAGGTCAGTTGCATGCCAGACAACTGCCTTACCTCCCCAAATATCTCCCTAGCCCCGAGTTGTGTTTCTTTTTGAGGGACTGATGAAAGAGGAAGTTGGCTTTAAAAATAATACTCCCAAGTTCTTCACACACTTTCTTCTAAGAAAACTTTTTTTGATCATTTTTAGCAGATTATTCATAACGAGCAATATAAAATAAATTATTTAGGGCCTGCTATTGGGGCAGGCTTGGGTGGTGAGTAGGAAAATTCAAAATAATGGTGGTGGGAAAGTGTACTGTGGTATAGGATGTGGTGTTGTAATATTGAATGCAATAAATTATTGTGAACGGGACCAGAGCAATAGTACATCAGATAGAGAATTTGCCTTGCACACGGCTGACCCGGGTTCTATCCATGCATCCCATATGGTCCCTGGAGCACCGCCAGGAGTAATTCCTGAGTGTAGAGCCAATAGTGGCCCCTGAGCATTGCCAGGTGTGGCCCAAAAAGAAAAAAAAATGACTGTGAATAACTTTATAAAAAAAAAATACTCCCAAGTGGATCAGAGCAGTAGTACAGCAGGTAGGGCCCTAGCCATGTATGCTGCTGACACAGGTTTGGTGCCCAGCACCACATATGGTCTTCCAAGGCCTTCCAGCAGTAATCCCTGAACACAGAACCAAAGGTAATCCCTGAGCACTGCTGGGTGTGCCCCCCCCTTAAAAAAATACTAGCAAATATTAAATGATATTAAGAAACAGTTCGTTCTTTCCAGGTGCTAATGTTTTTTGACACTGTGTACTTTTTCAAAAACAAGAGCCCTTATCTTTGAAAGACACACATCAACACCACTGTAGATAAGACAAAAAGAAAACAAGGTGTGATGAGGTTTGCTCCAGAGCAACAGCAGAAGGAAGGAGAGTGCAGGTCCCACCAGCACAGCAGACATCCTGAGCTGACAGAATTAAAAAAAAAAAAAGATGAAGGGTCCAGGTAAGGTCATTCAGTGTATGGCTCTACTTTGCACACACTGGACATTTTCCTTGCTAAAAGAGACTTTTCTGGAAAAGCTCTTTATGACACCTCATTTTTCACTCCTGCAATTAAAGGCATTACCTGAAGAAGCTTTCGCCTTGCCAGTCTTGCACCGGGTTCTCCTGGATGACCTCCCGGGAGAGGGGGGAAAGGAGGTGCCTCGGGGATTTGGAGTGGGGCAGGGTTGCCAGGACACTGAAGTGATCGCAGGACCGGAGAGGAGGAGGACCCTTCTTCTTCCGCGGAAGGGTGCCGTGTATGGACACGTCCTGATAGGCATCTGCACGGTGCTCGACAAGAGGCGACTTGCTGCTCAGAAGGTCCATGGACGAGGCCAGGGGGAACTGGTGATTCATGGGCATGTTTCTGGGAAGGCTTGCGAATTTTCCCGCAGCCATGGTTGTTCGTCTAGGGGAGGAAGGGCAGAGAGAAGGTATAAAATCTAAACGAATCGCGAGCACCAACTTCCTAATGACTGAAGTGGAAATATACCGCATGAAGATAAAGAAACGCCTCATGAAGGATAATATAGGCAAATGCTGCACAGCACCCGCCGCAGTCAAATGGAAGCCTGAATGGGAAGTTTACTCATCACCTTCTCTCTCTGGCCCTCCCAGGCACTAGATCTGCCCAGAGAAAAGGGCAAACAGCCTCTGGGGGGTGGGGGGCGCACATGGGCCATCTCAGGAGGACTGCAGCTGTTCCTCGCGGGTGGGAAAGCACAATCCACACAAAGAAAACGTTTCTGAGGAAGGACTCGAGGTTTCAACCACAAGCACATCAGAGAAAACATTATGAAGATGCTAGCCAGCTCCATCCATCCCCCCTCCGGAAATGGAAAGGGCAGGGGGAGATGACTGGGATTCCTGAGCTGCCACAAAGCCCAGAGTGCCAGACCAGCCCCTCTACCGCTGCCCCGACTCTCAGGTTGAACTTTCCGACAACCACCTGGTGTTGCTACATAAATCAATATTCTCTAATTAGCGAAGATGGCCTGGGTCAGAGGTCAGGAGCAGGGTCTGTCCTCCGAACACCAACTGGCTCAGCTGCTCCTGGCCTAGGGTGCAGCTCCATGGCCAGTGTAGAAGACGGGAGGCCCGTTGCCACCAACAGAGGTGACTGATGCACACGGGCGCCTGCCTAGTTTGAGAAGAGAAAGGAGATAAATAGGAGGGGCTGGGGAGGAGCGTGGGAAAAAAAGGGAAACTGGTCTGTGAGCCTGCATGTCAAGGAGCCCCAGGAATGGCTCCAGGCTATGATCACCCACAGACATGTTCCCTCCAGTGAGTCTGCAGCTCGCCGGCTCCAATCACCACCCAAACACGGTTTCTACCTAAGTCAAATGATATAAGATCTTTCGGTTTGTTTTTGGGGTCACACCTGTCAGTGCTTGGCGGCGAGTCCCAGTGTGGTGGCCAAGCCTGGGGCTCCCCGACACAAAGCCTGCACTCACACCCTTTGAGTCATCTCCCTGGCCCTGATACAAGCGTATTTCGCTGTCGGTATTTTTTCGCAGTGCTTGAGGGGCTACTCCCTGCTCAGTGCTCAGGCGACCAGGCAGCGGCTGGTTCTGAACCCAGGGCTTCCACTGGCAAAGCCTGCACTCCCATTCTCTGAACCACCTCACTGGCTCTGAGACAAGATATTGTTAAAGTCTATAGAAGACAGGAAGAGCAGACGCGTACTGCGTGTTAGGGCTATTCCGTGAGACTTGGAGGACCCAGAACATGTCCCATTAGTCATGGTATCAGAGTAATGTGGAAAATACAGCAGCACAGCTGTGCCCCTGGTGCTCACTGGCTGGCCCTAAGCAGCACAGCTGTGCCCCAGATAGTCACTGGCTTCCCCTAAGCTTTGCTGCTAGGAACAAGTCCCCGCATGCGTCCTGCAGCTCCCCTTCCCGAGGGACCCCTCCTGAGCAAACGAAAGGGGCTCAGAGTCAGGGAATCACTCTGGACAGTCAGGTCCACAAAGGGACAGAGGATGTGGTTGGAAGAACCACAAACAGCCAGGCCCGGAGCAGCGCAGCAGGTGGGCAGCAATGCCAGCGGGGCACAGGCCAGCGCCCCTGGGACAAAAACAGTGGCCTGCAAAGGAACCTGGTAAGTGCCAACCTATGGCCCCTGCTCCCACAAGCAACAGAAATGCACGTGAGTCGGCCCCGCTGAAAGCAGACCCTTCGCTCCAGGCATTAAAGCCTAAGTCTGCTCTCTGTTCCGTTGCCAAGCCTGGGTGCTGACTCTGCTCAGGTGAGCATTTCTGCCCGTGGTAATTCTGGGGTTTCTCTGCTCGACATCTAATTGGGACCACACAGAAGGCCTGGCTGGCAGCGGATGCAGAAACAATAGGAGTATGAGATACCACCAACTCCCCCCACCATCCCCCCAGCTCTGGCCAGATCTGGCACACTGCCAGCATTAGATGAATGTGAATCATCATGACTTAAAAAAAAAAAAAGAAATAAAACTCCCAGTCCTTCCTACCTAGCTATCGATGACATAAGAGAGTGAGGGTTTCCTCAACCACCCCCCCACCTCCTCAACCCCCACACACATACACACCCCTAATCACTTGTGCCTGCCCACGCTGTCCATCTTCCTAGACAGTGCTGGAGCATTTCAGTGCAGCCTGCAGGGAGGCCTGGAGTACCCACAGAAGCTTCATGTGCAAAGGCCTCATTGTTGACCTTTTCTATTTCCAGGCAAGTATGATGTCCCTCTCCCCTTCCAGGCTATGCAATAGCCACTCTCCTCTCTGCTTGTTCAAGATCCCGCAAGACTGAGTCCCAGCACTCTGGAATAGTGGCTTTCTGTCTTGAACCCTCTCGGACTACTCTGTGGGCCAGCACTGAAAATCATTGCTCTAGAATGCCAAGCAAGCAAGTTTATTCCCTACCACTGAGGGACACTAACACTTTCCTCTCTTACCTCCCATGCGACAAACAGGAAAAAGACCAGGAGAAACCAAGCTGCCTATGTCCCGGTCCCTGAATGTGTGTGTTCCAAGAGCCTATAACATGACTCCATCAATAGAGACCTTGAACATCCTGGAGGAAAGGCGTCTGCCAGAAAGGCATGGGTGGAGATGACGGACTTGAAAGCATTGCAGAGGAATGTCTCTGAGAGAATCCATTGCATGGACGAGCCCTACGGGCTTTAGAAACCACAAGTCAAGTGAGGTGGCCTGAGCAGGGCCACCAGGGTGGTGCTGGGTGGGAGCAGGCAATGCAGTGCTATGGATGAACTCAGGTCCTCCTGGATGCAAGGCAGGTGCTCTGCTTTGAGCTCTCTTCCTGCCTCCCAGCTGATCATAGAGTCCAGAAGGCTGCAAGCAAGTGTCACCAGGTGCTGAGAAGGCCTGAAGGGGCGCAGAGTCATGTCTGAACCCAGTTGGATAACTGGTGAATGTGGAAAGACAGAAAGAGATGGGGAGGTCAGCCAGGCAGACAGTCACAAGCCAGCAAGGAGCAAATGCTAGAAACAACTAAATGAGGAACTCTCACCTGGGGCAGAGGCCAGGGCAAGGGACAGAAGGGGCAGGTCTGGGGGGGGGGGGGGCAGGAGGGGTGGACAGTGGATGCAGAGCCCTGTGAAAGGTACAAAACAAACTCCCCAGTGGAGCTGGTGAGAGTGAGGAGCCAGGAGTTCACCCCAGGAGGCTCAAGCGAACTAGTATGTGCAATGAGGAGCCAGGACAGTCATTTGTTTTTGTTTTTTTTTTTTAACTTTGTTTCTGGGAGATGTAAGGAGCAGTGACAGGAGCTAGCACACACCTACTGTGCATAAAGTTTGAGTTGACTCCCTGGCCCTGCTGGGCATAGCCCCTGTATGTCCCTCCCACACACCCCCGCAAGCACCACTTGCCTGAGCACACCACATGGCAGCTGAGTACTGAGTGCAGATTTGCACCCCTGGGCTAAGCATCACCAGGAATTGCAGGGCATGTATTCAGCCAGCCACAACCCTGGTCCCTGCAGGTTTGAGGGAGCCTCCCCAGCTGTGTTCGGGACGCGGGAGCCATTCCCATCATTAACCATGTTGATGCTCAGTGCTTCCATCCACAGATGGTGCAAAAGCCCCAGCTACCCCCATGCATGCAAGGCATGAGCTCCACCTCTTTGAGTTCTTTCCCCAGCCCAAGGATACAGATTTTTAAGAGTCATCAACTTAAAGGGAATATTTAAACCCGAGGATAGAATCTTTAACTTGTTATTATCAGCTATAACAGATATGAAAAGTACCTCTTACCCTAGCAGGAACCATTCAGGATCTATGAATGATATCTCTGCTCTTGCTCACCCTGGCTGCTTTAAGTCTGTAGGAACCAGAGCAAGAAAAAGTGTGCAGTGTGCTGGAAACTTACAGCAGTGCCCCTCAGCCTCGGAAGAACCCTCTGGCAAGCTTTTAAAATTGTGATCCCCAAGTCTCAACCTAGACCAATGAGAATAGAATCTCAGGGGGTAGGACTAGGCATCCATCTTTTTAAAGCTCCCCAGCATTTTCTAATGTGAAGCCGGGGTTGAGAACCACAGGACACGCCAATGTGTTTGGTACAGAGCAACCTGGATTTGTTTACCTGGGAAAGAGATGAGAGTGGTAATGAGAATGGCAATGAGGGAATGCCCTTGGATCAGGAGCAGCATTCATTCTGTTCAATATACAGTGACACAACTGTCCTCATGAGATTAATACTCGATGGCAGAGACTAGTCAGTCGTGAGCTGTAATAGTGAATCCCCAGTGATGGGACAGAGCTAGAGGAACCTAGTGGCCAGGAAAGGCTTCATAAAGGGAGGGATGAGGAAGAAGAGTTTACAAACTGGTGGATGGGGCCAGAGAGATAGTACAGTAGGTAAGGTGCTTGCCTTGCATACTGCTCACATGGGTTTGACCCCCAGCGTCCCATTTCATCCCCCCAAGTACTACCAGGAGTGATTCCTACGTGCAGAGCCAGGAGTAAGTCTTGAGCACCACCAGGTGTGGCTTCAAAACCAAAAACCAAACAAATAAAAGCACACTGGAAGGAAAAGATGGTTCAAGCTGAATCTCTAGTGAGTTCTCAACTACAAATGAATTAGAAATGCACAGAGAGTGTGCTCTCTCCTCTCTAATTTGCTACACGGACCTTGGGGTTCTCCTCCCCATCTCCTGAGCCCCCATCAAATTACTGCCTCACCCCAGTGAGTTACTTGGGAAGAGCGGCTCAACTCTGGACCTGGTGTCAAGTTTAAATCAGTCCAACAGTGGGGGAAGAGAGCCCAAGCCCACTTTTGACATCAAAAACCAGAACTAAAAGCGGGGCAGGAGATAGAAGGGGGTTGGGGCTATCCAAGTGTGTAGCTCATTAAAAGCTTTTGTGTCACTTCATTTTTACTTAAGCTCTGCCTACTTTTCCATTTTCCAGACACACAGAAGTTGAGGGTGGTGGTTGGGGGGACTAGCGGGGTGGAATCAAAGGAGTGAAAATACATGGCATATGGTTGGAATCTAGGTGTAAGGACTTTACATTTTTGCAGAAAAACCACTTCTATCACCCGTGTGTGTGTGTGTGTGTGCGCGTGCGTGCGTGTGTGCACACAACACACACACACTGAGTTACATGCAGATGTCACAGAGATTCAAGTCATTCATCCTTTTTACAGATAAGAGAAATAAAGGTTTCGTATGTGTATTTCATATTGTATTCTAGGGCTTAAAGTGTACCAGGACTGAGGATATAATAAACTCGATGAGGTCCTGCTACTGTGGGGCCTACACTGCATGGGTGGGCCAACCTATGACAGCAGAACAAACCCAGTGGGGTCTCAGTTGCAAAGAACATAAAAACAGAATGGAGTAATAGAACAGGCTAGGTGAAGATGGCCATTTAGATGAGAGGGCGGTCTGTGGAGGCCTCTCAAGAGATCTTAATGTCATCAGACCTGGGTGAGGGTGGGGGTGGGGGGAAATCACTCAAGAGAACACTGGAGGTACTTCAGACATGGAATTCATCAAAAACAAATGTCTTGCGTGGGAATATGTGGTTGGAAGAACACAGTGGAACAAGCCTAAATCTCTAGTCTCTGCCTCCATGATTCTCCCCTCGGAGGTGTTTCTGTGTGGAAGCCCAAGTCATCATGCACATCTTAGGTATCATTTGACTCTTGAAAAATATTAAGCAAGGTAGTACTCAGAACCTAAATTTAAAACCAGACACAGAAGACTTTCAATCACCCACCCTGCCAATGACTTACCAGCTATGTGGCCAGCGACAAGTTACTCAGCCCCTATTCCATGGGGTTGCTATGGAAATTAAAAGCGACCACGCATTGACGATCCTTGACTTAGAGCAGGCTCTCAACAGTGGGACCATGTCTGGCTCACTTGTCATTGAGTCCCTATTATAAGGAGTACCCACAAAGTCCCTGCTCTGGGAAGACTTCTCCCAGAAGGATGAAGAGGGAAGTGGATTTTTCTTGGGGGACACCCCCCCCCCAAGCAGTGTTGAGTAGGCCCATGGGCGCCAACAGACATTCTTGGCTGCGTAAGGGCTCAGCACTGGTGTCCAAGGATGTGGTCTTTGGGCTTGTAATGCCAGAGGTACTTAGGCCACCCGGATAGTGCTGGAGGCCTTCAGGTCTGTACACAGTGATGATCAGGAGACCATGTGGTGGAGAGAATCAAACCAGGTCGGGAGCTTACCAGGCATATACCTTAATAGCTGTATTATCTCCCAGTCCCAGAGGAGGGAACTATTTCTAACTAGAAGAATAGAAACAAACACTAAATTAAGTACATATAAACACAAACACAGCTTGTGTGCAATCTTCAAAAGTTGGAACAAAGCAAGAATTTGCTAAGGTGTTTGCCAGGGTTCAATCCCAGGGCTGCTTATGGTCCCTGAGTCCAGGACTGACCCCTGAAGCAGGAGTAAAACCTGAGCATTGCTGGGTGTGACCCCATCCTCTCAACCCCCAATCCACAAAAGAAGAAAACCAAGTGAGACTTTTGTCATCTGACTTCCCCTTTCTCTGTCAGCAGGTAAACATTCAGAGTATCCTGACTCAGTCTCAAGCCAGATCTTGAAATATACACAAAGGTCGAAGACTGTATCTTGATATAAAAATATGAGGATCGTGTGCACATTCAGAGAGCTGAGTGTCTATCAGGTCCAGGCAACTCCAATCTACGTCCTGGTCTTCCAGACTCCGAATATCAGCTTTGCTTTAACTGCTGTTACACAAAGCAGGACACTCACTCGTTTTATGGAAGAAATCACAAAGAAAATGAAAACATAGAACAGGAAAGGCAGAGCTAAGAAGCCCACTTGTTTTACTTCCCTCTCTCTCTCTTTTTTTTTTTCTTTGACACTCCTGGTAGTGCTTAGGGAACTATGTGGTGCTAGCGTCTGGGTCCCCCACATGAAAAGCATGCCCTCGGCACAGGAGCTATCTCTCTGGCCCTGGTTTTATTTCTGAAATTAGCTATATTTGATCCTTGAAAAATGGAGGGTTGGGGCTGGAGCGATAGCACAGCGGGTAGGACGTTTGCCTTGCAAGCAGCCAACCCAGGTTTGATTCCCAGAATCCCATGTGGTCCCCGAGCACTTATTCCTGGAGTAATTCCTGAGTGCATGAGCCAGGAGTAATCCCTGTGCATTGCCGGGTGTGACCCAAAAAGAAAAAAAGAAAAAGAAAGAAAAATGGAGGGTTAGGGTAGCTAACCATCCCAATTGAAAATCTGGTATAATTCCCGACTCCCCTAAACTTGTTACAGTTGTACCATGGCATTAGCAGGGCATTGATCTCAACACCACTACCTTTACCCCCAAACCTGGCCATGCACAGAGGCAGAGGCTCAGCATGCAGTGGGGTCCCCATTCACATTAACAGTCAGGTCATTTCCTCAATGGGGAACATCTGGAAATAGCAGTTCAAATTCCATCATTCAAAGCTCAACTGTATTTTCAAGTTAAATCCAACATGGTCATTCGATACGAGCTTTACAAGCTTTCTATCTACTGTAAACTGAAAACATCACTTCCGGTCTGCTCCTTTATGATTATGACAGGGATTTTACCATGCGGATTCAGATTTTATAACTTCTCTGCAGAGCCAAAGAGGGAGCGGGGAGGGAACAATGGCAGTATAAAACCGATTTATCCACTTAAAGTGAAGTTTTGCTTGGATTTAGGAATTAAGAATATCCCTTTAATTTTTTTTTAAGTTAACGTTATGATGTCTCGCCAAATGATTGAAGTATGAATAATTCTTCCACGGATTGTATTTCAAGCAACTCGGCGCGGGATTTACACGATAAGGGCCTTAAGATGACTAGCACCCATTGAACAAGCAGTGCTTTTTATACGGAGAGGAGATTGAGATCTTGGTTAGTCATCCTGGAAATGTCAGGCTGCTCGGGGACAGCACTGGAGAATGCCGGCGCCCAGCTGAGGGGAACCAGTCATGGCAACTGTTGGGTTGAATGCCCTCTTGCACCCCCTGGCTGGGGCTGGTGGCGTCCTCGCCTCTTTGTGCTGCCCCTGCGCCCCAGAACTGAGCTGGAACCGCCGAGCCCCGCCCCCAGCCCGCAGCCGCCCCCTCCCCCCGGGATTTAGGCTCAGGCCTTGGCAACAGGCACAGAGATAATCCAACAGACCTTCCCTTTTGCCCGTGCATTTTTTCCCCTGAAGACTTCTGAGAAGCCTTGATGAATAAGAGTCAAGGTTTAAAGGAATCTCGGAACGTCTGGCTTTGCTTTATCGTCTCAGTTCCCGAAGAAAGCAGACGCGGAGTTAGGCAACGGGTCTTGCGCCTTCGCACCTTGCTTCAAGTGCATGAACACCCCTAAAAACAGACTTTTCCAGCCCCTCAAACCCAGACTGCACACGACCCAGCGCGTCCCAGTCCGCGCCACGGAGCACAGAGACTCGCCAGGCTGCTCCAGGCTCCGGTACCCTCGACCTCTCCCGGGCTCGAGTTCCTACACCTGGTCGAGCCAACGTCTCAGCGCCTGAGAGAAAGGGGAGCTGAGACCAGCGTAGGTCCCGAGGCGCCCCCACCCCTCCGCTTCCCTCCCGAACGCAGAGGCATCGGCACAACCAACTATTCATTCCTTTCTCAACAAAGGGAGAAGAGCGAGGCGGGGGGTGGGGTGGGGGTGTTGTCAACAATTACAGGGCAGGGACTTTGCTTTCTTTGCAAACTTTCCAAGACTTTGGTGGAGAAAGTCACCTCCTCCATCCGAACCCAGGGCTTCCTCTCAAAGCGCAGCCACCGGGCCCGCAGAGAGGAAGGGACTGGAGCAAAGCAGGGGGAAAAGCAACCGAAGGAGGCCGAGTCCCGGGAAGTTGCCGCAGAAGAGCCGGGAGCAGAGATGCTCCCCGAGCGTCGCTTCCCGAGGCGGGGATGGGAGGCCAGTCTAGGGGGCCCCCCTGGAAGTTTCTCAGACCCCTGAAGGCACCGATCCTGGAACACCCCCCCCCCACACACACACACAGAGGCCGATTTTGCGGGGGGGCGGAGAGGAGAGGGAGCGCCGGCCCTGACTCGCCACCCCCCAACTATCAGAAACAAACTTTCCAGCCGCGTCTCCAGTGGGAGGGCGCGGCCCTCCGGCAGGGCGCGGGGCGCCGGGCGCGCGGCGGACACTCACCTCCCCGCGTCCCGGTTCCCGGGCTGCGGCTCAGCGGCCGCGCACGGCCCGCCCGGCGCCCCGGCGGCGGCTACTCCCCCGGCAGGGGCAGCGCATGGCCCGCGGGACGCGCCGCTGCAGCGACTCCGACTTCGGCTCCCGCGCCCAGCCTGGCCCCGGCAGCTGCAGGCGCGGCTCTGTGCGAGCGCCGCGCACTCCGGCCCTCAAATGGTGATTTGCCGCCGCGCGGCCCCACCCCGGACAGCCGATTCGCCTGGCCTCGCCGAACCCCGGCGACATTTACATGCGGTGACCTCGGCCGGACCCTCCGCGGCCCGCCGCGAGTTTCGAGCCCAGGTGGAGCTCAACGGAGTCCTCGGGGTGGGAGTTTTAGGAGCCCGCCTCCTCCACGCCTCCCCGCTCCCCCGGGGGTTAATTACCCAGCTGATCCGCTCCGCTCCGCAGCGGGCACCTGGCTGGCTGCCTTTTCCGTTTCCAGGGCTTTGATGGGACAAAGACCCAGGTAACCAGAAAGGAGCGAGCCAAGGGAAGAGGTAAAGCCATCACGCCCACCTAGACACAGGGGAAGCAAAAAAAAAAAAAAAAAAAAAAAAAAAAAGGAGGTGGAAATGGCATTTCGGCGCTAGATGACTTGGCGGGGTGGAACGTTGGAGCCTCCTAGAGAACTTAATTCCCTCGGGTATCAATAAAGACCAGTTGCGAAAGTTATAGTTACTGGATTCGATGATAAACCAACCGACTCTAAGGAGAGAGTCCAGAAACAGACCTGCAGCGCGTAGCGTGGGCCCATGATTGGTGCACGGGAAAGGACAGGAGTCTTTTTCTGTAAATGACGCTGGATGTTTCCATGTTTATCAGCGGAACACCCAGGTGGAGAAAAGAATCTTGACCCGTAACTCATATCATAGCGAAAAATCTACTCCAATGGGAAATGCTAAAGTAATAAAATGGTTCAAAGTAAATATTAAAAATATATTAATTGGCCTGGAGAGATAGTACAGCCAGTAGGGCACTTCATGCAGCCAACCCCGGTTCCAACCTTGTGCCACACTTACTGAACCCCACCAGAAATGATCTCTGAGCATAGAGCCAGGAGTATGACTTGAGAAGCACAGGGTGTGGCCCCCAAACAATAACAACAATAACAAAGTTCATTATTTTTATCATTGGACATTAACATTAAGAAATCCCACTTACCAAGAAGCATCACAAGGTTTGAGAAACAATAATCCCTCATCTATATTTTATACACTTTATATTGTGCACAGGAATATTGTAAGTGTTCTTTAACACTTACAAATCGATAGGCAGAAAATCATATTAAAAATAGGCAAAATATTTCAACCGATATTTCTCAAAATAGTCTAAAATCACATAAAAAGGGTTCTCAAGTAAATCATCTTCCCAGAAATGCAAATTGGTTGCAATCTGATTTCACTTCACAGTCACCAAAATGACTAAAATAAGAGAACTTTGAGAGCATTAGAGAACATTATTTAGAAGCCTGCTTAGCAATATCTACCAAAGCCAAATTAATAGCGAGTTCATCTCTGAGTATGTATCTAGTAGAGGTCTATATACATATGCAGCAAAGAATGTGTTTGTTTCTTTAGAATACCCCCCCAACAATTTACAAATGAATTAAACTATGCTGGACAAGATGCCTGACTTTCGAAAAATAAGATGTTGAGCAACAAAAGGTGAACACTAATGGCCACAAACTATACAACAACATTCATGTAAAATTTGAAAACAGTTAAAAATGCATCAGTGATTTTAAAGGTGGAGGTAGGTTCATAAGACAAATATTGATAGACGCCCAAAGAGCACTTGAGTGCAAGAAAAAAAGTTCCTTTCTGGGTCCTGATGCATTATCTAGATGTGTTCTATTTTATAAAATAAATAATCCCTCGTTTCAATAAAATTATCTGTATTTGGCCGAGCCAGGTTCAATTCCTCCGCCCCTCTTGGGAGAGCCTAGCAAGCTACCGAGAGTATCTCCCCGCACAGCAAAGCTTGGCAAGCTCCCCATAATGTATTCAATATGCCAAACACAGTAACAACAAGTCTCACAATGGAGACATTACTGATTCCGCTGGAGCAAATCGATGAACATTGGGAGGACAGTACAACAGTGCTTATTTGTATGCATTTTTTTTACCCCAATTTAAAATCGTTACTTGTGTAATGTTGGTTGTGTTTAAGTAGGACCATCATTTTCTTTCTTAAAAACTTTTTTATTGATCACTGTGAGATAGACCCTTATAAAGCTGTTCATGATTGGATTCCATCATACAGTATTCCAACACTCATCCCTCCACCAGTGTACATTTCCCAGCACTAGTGTCCCCAGGTTCCCTCCTATCAACCCCCATCACATTCCCACCCCGTCTACCTCTATGACAGTCGCTTTTCCTCTCTCTCTCTCTCTCTCTCTCCTTTTAGGCATTGTGGTTTGCAATATTGTGGACCATCATTTTCAACCCCTAAGACAGCATTATCGACAAGTCTGCAAGATTTTAAAGGTTGCATCTCCGACAATGAATTTCTACATTTTCCCTATGGATGTTTTGTGGGTTGGTCTTTAACTTATTTCATCCAAAGCACAAACTCTTAATTTTTGTTGTATATTTTCAAAGTATTCAGTGCAATGAATTTCAAATGGACTGGCTGCTATGATTCTAAACTGAATTATTAAAAGCCCATTTACTGACTTTCTGCTTCTCTTAAGGTTGACTAGAAACAGTGATAAAACTTACTTGGTGAGGAGCAACAGTCCAGCTCTTAGAGCATTTGCCTTGCATATAGCCTACCTGGGTTTGATCTCTAGAACCACATGCAGTCCCCTGAACACTTCAAGGAATGATCTTTGAGAACAGAGCCAGGAATCAGCGCTGAGCACTACCAGGTGTGACCCCAAAACAAAAATAAAACTATTTTTTAACTTCTAAAATTCCCAAAGTACCTCTTTTAATAGTTTAGAGTGTTGTGGAAGGCAGCCATGAGGGAAGACCACCATAACCGTCAGTGAGAACATGGGCATTCACTTCCTCTTTGTCCCTTCATTTCTCCTGGGTGAGCGAGGGAGTAAATGTGAGGAACTAAGGAAACATTGAATGTGAAAGTATTCAGCCTGTCGTAGTGATCATTAACTGTGGCGACACGCTATCTTTGTTTTACAATACCCTCTGTGATAGGAGATATCTCTATTTGAGAAGAGACAGACTCAGAAAGATCAAGTAACTTCTGCCATGAATATGTTCACAAACATGTGTTGTTTGCCTGTTATGTGCCAAGGTCCATAGCTATAAGGTAGAATCGAGATTTGAATCAGGTGTTTTAATTTTTAAATCTGTGGTCTTTCCAGGGTTCCACTGCTTTCACATTTGGATACCGAGTACTTAGTATAACACAGTAATGGGTGATTAGCAGGAAGATATTTAATATAAACTTTGACTAGGTAATGGGCTGGAGCGATAGCACAGCGGGTAAGGCGTTCGCCTTACAAGTGGCCAACATGGCCGACCCGAGTTCGATTCCTCCGCCCCTCTCGGAGAGCCCGGCAAGCTACCGAGAGTATTCGATATGCCAGACACAGTAACAACAAAGTCTCCAATGGAGACGTTACTGGGCCCGCTCGAGCAAATCGACGATCAACGGGAGGGCCTTTACCTTTACCTTTACCTTGACTAGGTAATATCCACAGGGTCCATGAATTGAATATATAAAATAACGTACATTGAAATGTTTCCCTTTTAAATCTGTCTTGCATCTACTCTCCCCCCTCCCCTTCTACCATATGCATATATACAAGTATATAGTACGGTTGTATATATATACGTTGTACGGCCAGGATCCAGAGATCATCACACTCAGCTCCTGGGAGAGAACAAGACAGAGTCTCCTACCCTATGCCTGACTGTCTCCACCAGGGCCCAACAGCTGAAGACCACCGAGGCCCAGCCAAGGCCATGCTGGGAGCACTCTCCACACACTTGGATGAGCCTCACGCATAAAAGAACTGACAGAGGAACCCAGGTGTGTGGGACCCGGGGCTGAGATCTCCAAGCCTGTACAGTTTGGGACTGGACCTGCCAGTAACTAGACAGTTACACCCACCAACTGCCGTGTAACTCCAACAACGGCCAGGATCCAGAGATTATCACACTCAGCTCCCAAAAGCGAATGCGGCCGCGCGACATCTTATCATCTCATTCCTAATTCGGTCAAACTGGCAGGCTACCAAATGTAACATGCCCACACGGCAGAGTCTGGCAAACTCCCCGTGGTATACCCAATATGCCAAATACCAGTAACAATGATGGGTCTCATTCTCCTAACCCTGAAAAAGCCTTGAATATGGCACTTTAAAAAAAAAAAATCTCAGGGCTAGGACGAAGAAGACGTTACTGGCACCTGCTCGAGGCAATCGACGAACAACAGGGTGGTCGTGATTGTCGTGATAGTACGGTTAATACACTGATGTTATATTATCATATCATCACACCCAGAGTGTGTGTGTTATCATCTACCCTGACACAAAAGTAACTTATACCTATAGTTTCAAACGTTGCTTTTCTTCTTTAAACTTGGCAATATAAGTTGAAAATTTTCCCATATAAGTGCATAGTATTCCTTTAAAGAGATGTATCATATTTTCTCCAATCAGTGCTATATTGATGGACATTTAGGTTATTTCCGTTTCTGTCTAATTACAAACAATATAACAATCGATGATCATACATCTTAGCACATGCAAGGATATCTACAAAATACATTTACAGAGACTAAACTGGTAAGGATATTTTTTCAAAGATCTTTTTTCCTTACTCTTTTTTTTTTTCTTTAAATTTTTTTCTTTGCTGTTTGAGTCACACCCAGTGGTGGTGCTCAGGACTTACTCCTGGCGCTGCACTCTAGAGTCTCTCCTGGCAAACCCAGGAGACCATATGTGGTGCTGGAGATCAAACGCGAATCAGCTATGTGCAAGGCAAGTGTCTTACCTGCTGTGCTCTCACTTCAGCCAGCTTTTTAAAGGTTGATAAGTAATGCTATATTGCCTTTTATAGGAATATCACGGTCCTCCCATTGTTCATCAATTTGCTCGAGCGGGCCCAGTAACGTCTCCATCATGAGACTTGTTGTTACTGTGTTTGGATTATCG